GGCGGCCGCGGCGGCTCGATCGGCTTGGGAGGCTGCCCCGCGGACACCCGTGGCGTGGGAGCCCGGCTTGTGAGCGCAGCGCTTCCCCCAGCTGCGCGGGGAGCGCGGGGGCCGGCGCTCCTCAGCGCACACGCGTTACCAGGGCGGGTTTCTGGAGCCCCGTCGGCGCTGCCGCCTCCCGCGGCGCTTCCCGGTGTCGCGGGGCGCTGATTGCCCCGCACGGCGGCGTCTCCGGTTACCCGGAAAAGCGCCCGCGCCGCGCGTGATCTCCGGGTAATTTGAAGTGTTCGCATCGATCCGAGCCCTGATAGGGGACTTGCTCCACTGATTGCTTTTCATTACGCGCTCTTCTAATAAATTAGAGCCCTAAACACATGCACAGCTGCAGTAAGGCTCCCACGGTGTATTCTCTCTCCCTCTTTTTTTTTTTCCCTCTTTCTTCCCAAGAGGTGTGGGGAGCTGAATTTAAGGAAATTTAAGGAAAGCTGAATTTAAGGACTTATGTCTGCTGTAGGCAGCTTCCACTCCTCGTGGGTGAGGGGTGTTGATGGACCATAGTCAAGGATCTTGCATCTGTGCTCTTTTCTGCCTGTTCCTTGAACAAATCAATATTCTGGTTCCCAAATCTGTCCCCACAGGAGGAGGAGGAAGGGTTAGTTAAGAGATAGTTAAGGGTGAAAAAGAAAATGTACTCAGTCATCCAGTTTGTTACTTTGCTAAGTAGAAATTATAATGTACATTAATGTCAAACAATGGGAAATGCTCACATGCTTATCATTGGCAAGTGCTCCAATTTTCAAAAATCTTGCTGCAGAGACACTTTAGCATCGCAAACAGACATTTCAAAGGTGGCCCAACAGTATTTTAAATGAATGAAGGTCAGTCAGTTCAGCTGTAGTCTTTGTGTGTGGTACAGGAGGTCGCATCTTTTCATTTGAGCTTGGAGGGTCAGGCTTCGGGTACTCGTGAATATATGCTAAGATACTTATGTGACCACATTCTGTACCTGCATGTCAAGAGTGCTTGTTCTCTGAAGCAGCTGGATTTTAGGTGAGGCTGTTGAGGAGCCAGTGTGATTGGGATCCTTGTGGAATGGAGTAGTCCCGTTTTGCTGTAGTTTTTGCTAACATATTTCCACCCACAGTTGGCCATCATCTTTGTTGGCAGTGAAGTTTCAGTGCTGGTTCCTTGATTCAAGTCTAGCATGGGACCTCACATTTCTTACAGGTAGCTTGGAAATTACAGGTCTGTATGGGCCAACCTGCTATCTTAAGCTTATCCTGTGTGGATGATTATTAGAACTGGCATTAAGCTCCTTATGACAATCCATAAACATATTTTTAACAAAAAATCTTCTTGCTATTAACTAAAATGTCTATAACCCTGAAGCTAAAACTGATATCAGTTAGGTATTATCTGTCCAATCGCAATCATGGGCCCTGAGGTGAGGAACTCCAAGCAGAAGATTTTTCCCAGGCCTTTCTACTGCTTGAGCTCTAATAGTGCTGTGGGATGGGACAGCCAGCAAAGGATGCTCAGAGTACAACCTTTTAAAATACTTAGTAAGCAATGCAAGATTGTACTTAAACAAACACAAAAAGTAAGGATAGTACTAAAAATGACTTAATATTTAGTCTGAAGTTGTTTAGAACATTATGCTTAGGTTCAGGCAGTGGGTTTTTTAATTTTAACAAGCATATTAAAGCATACAGTTTGTGGTGAAAATGAATAATCACAGAATGGTTGAGGGTGGAAGGGACCTCTGGAGATCTAGTCCAACCCTCCTGCTCAAGCAGGGACACCTAGAGAATATAGGGGAATCGGGGGGAGGGGAAATAACTCTCTGAAGCTTTGTGTTATGCAGGGAGTTAACATCAAAATGTGCCTGAGGTAAGGAGGGCAGGGGCTTCATTTTGGCCTGCACACAGAGAACAAGGCTGTGAATTTGGACACAAAATGAAATCTTTTGTTTCTTTTCATGGTTCCAGAATTCCTACATGAACACAAGAGCCACGCCGTGTGTATATATATATTTCGGGCAGTTTTTCTTTGTGTCAATCTACTGTTAAATAAACTTCCAAATAACTTTCTGAAGTTTCTCACATTTTTTTTCCACCTTTTCCCCATGCCTCTTGCAAGAGCTCTCAAGTTTTTGCTTCTCTTTAGGTTTTGTACTAACCCTACACAAGTAACAGGCTGTTTTTATCTAGACATGATTTGTGCTGACACAAAACCTAACATGATCTTATGATCTGTAAAACAGCTGTTTGAGAGCTGTGTATGTTGAAGAAGCTCTTCCACCTCGGGCCTGCATTTTCCTCTTTTTTTGTATCCAAATTCAAGTTGTTCTACTTCTGACTGACTTACATTTTATGCATCTTATCCTTTTTGTTCAAGCTCTGAATATTAGAAAGTAATGTTAAGTTTTACAGCACTAGTAGATTTTTAGTTTGTTAGCCACTGCCTTTTCAGGTGGTGTTCTCATCATTACTTCATTGATCTGTACTCCTGCGTTTATAGCAGTGATGTTATAGGCCTTCTTAAAAGTCTCTAATATCTCTCTTCCTGTATTATATACTTTATATACCACATTTGGGCTTCCTTGGACACTCTTTTTTTTTCTCATTTTTTTCTCCTACTGTCACCACTCCAGTGGTTCTTTGTGCTGTAGTGAGACTTACTGACAAGGTGGGAGATTGTGAAGAAACACTGTCCTTGAGTGATTTAACCACTGTTATAGATGCAAAATGCACAAAGTTAAAGGCTTTTGGGGATTTTTTTAATGCTTTTCCAGTTAACATAAACTTGTCCTTTTACTGTCATCCATGCATTAAACTGTAATAGCAGTCTTAGCTGAGTGAATTATATGGGGGTTTTGTGCCCGGCTAGGGAATAGCAACTGCAGTGAAGATGTGCCCCAAGTATATTCATCACCAACCAGAGACTGAATCAAGTATTTCTGACTTCCGTTTCTGCTGTTCAGAATCTAGCAAGCATTTGTTAGCAACTTCAAGGTATCAAGTCTTTTGAAGCAAAGAGTAGAAATGATCTTTGTAGCTTAGAAATCAGTCTGAATATGGATCTGTCTGAATTGTGCATGTCTCACATGCACAAAATGAAGTTGTATTAGTAGTAATACTTATTTTTCAGTGTTTCTTATAGAAACGGATTAATTATGTTAACACAGTCTGAAAAAGTTTAAAGCATAAAAATGCTGATCTATAATCTGTAGCATTAGATATTAAAGCCTTTTGCCTCATCTTTCAGGTATTTGTCAACATGCTCCCATCCTCTCTGACGGTCCAATATCTTATGTATGGGACCAGCGTACTTTGTTTTGAAGTGCCACAGAACATCTCCAGCGATTAATTCAGACACTGAAAACTGACGTCAAACACACAGTTGTAGTTTAGATATGCACTGTATAATGTGACTGGATCCAGTATCAGAAGTCTATGCATATCGTAGAATCCAGATTTTTGGTTTTGGGCAAAATGGGTACCGATGGGAAAGAGAAACAGGCAGGAAAAGGTCAAAAGCCAGCCTTTTGATATGACTCCCTTTTTGCTTTTAAACAACAAGCCACAATTTCAGTCACATTTGGCAATGTTGAAGAGACCTCAAAAATTCTTAACTTCTTACAAGAGTGTGGGACAATAACGCTGGTAAGAGGAACCAGATCCTGTAAGTGCACAGCTGGGGTAGGGTTGCAGGGCACACTGACATATCTCAAAGGAGAGAAATTTTATAAAAATGCCTAATTGCAAGAAAAGCTTATACTTGTAACTTTACTAACTTGTAAAGTTTATAATTTGTAACTATACTTGTAACTTCACCTGGGTTAGTGTGCTGGAGTGTGTAGACACAGGCCGTGTGGCGGTGATTCTCTTGCAAGTGCATTGAATATGGGGGAGATTATTTGTTAGGCAGGTGGGGTAAGAACTTAAACCACTACAGGGGGTTTCATTTATTGGGGTTCTAACCAGGAGAATTCGCCGTGATGAATGTGACACTAAGATGCAAGGCAAGATTTGACATTTGCCATCTTTACTTTCACAGATGTAACTGTTACAGTATGATAATGGAAGATGAGTATATACATTTGCTCTTTAAAATACTGGATTCGTCATACTCTCAACTATTCTGTTTAATTTATGTAAATTTGTCTTAGGGTACATCAAAATAGAAATGCAACTCTCCAAATTAATATAAAAAATGCCAAATATCAGACATTTGAAACAAACAAACAAAAATCATGAAGCTGTGTAGTTCTAAAGCAATATTTATACCATAGGGCACAGAGAATTTACCTAGCTGGCGTTTTGCTAGAAAAATTGAAATTATACAAACACCTTTTTTTCTTTTTATACCTACATGTATACGTATGTTCATTCTGAGCATGAAAACATCATCAAACACAAACTCTAATCTTGCCAACAGTGAGAGTTAGGTGCTTCACTGAGATTAATTGATCCTATTAATACACAAAGCCTGTATAAATATTTAGTCTTTGCATGTATGTAGTCTTTATATTTACTCTTTTAATATAAATTGGTTGCCTCGCTAGTTTAAACTCGTGGGGGGGATTCTATAAAAATGTACTTAGAGCATATCTGTTAATTATTTATGTACTCTACTTTTTCAAATTCTTTAAAGAAAAAGGGATAACATTTCCATTCCTAGATTAGGAAGTTTATACGTTAAATGTGTTTAACAAATGATACCTTTTGAATAAGGGCCTTATTCTATCTGTTCTTTGTATTCTTTCTAAAGAACAGATATTCTATCTATCCGGTCTAAAAAAGAAATTTGATAATTTTTAAAATTGATGTTATCAGAACTACATATCAACAGAAGAATACCTGAATGCAAAAACACTTTTACCACTTTTCATAAACTAAAAATATTTAATGATTATGTGATACCTGTGATTTATAAAAGCGGTATGCTTGTTTTTATCAAATAGGAATTACATGCATTAATTTCATTTTTAAAAGGGTTCATGAAACGCAGCATAGTGTGCAGTTTACTAATGAGACAATTTGAGCAAATGTGTTTTAATTTTTTTTAAGCACAGTATTTTGGGTGATCAAGTAAGTCTCTTTTCTAGAAAGTGAGTGTAATCCTTTAAACTACCAATACTTTTTTTGTGTGTGTGTGAAAGTTTTTGATCCTCTTAAATACTTTTCATAGACTTCCTGTATTGTCAGTTAGTATAATTCAGCTTTTAACTAAAAATCTTCAAAGGTAATAGTTTTCATTGTTTGGGAATCTGCTTAGTAGTGTCATTATGAAATGTTTTACACTGAAACTGGCAAAGTCCATCTAGTTGGAGGGATATAAAGCAAGCTCATCTGATATTAGAAACATTGTAACCTCAGGAGATTTTTGGAAACATACAAGATAAAATACGGTCATAAAATAAGTATTATTTATTCTTAGTGGTGCCATTGACTTCCTTCTGCATTGAGGATAATAAACAAAGTCTATTTCCAGCGTAGCAGCAAATTCGTTAAGAATTCTATTATTGCATTATTAGGGTTTTGCATGTTTTTGAAGATCCAGTCCATGAAAGAACAAAGTCTAGGATTCTAGTTCTTGGCAGTCCTTGCTTCATATGAGAGTAACTTAGATTTGACTTTAATATTCACACTGGACTTCTCTGGAGAAAGTGTGAGTGTCCGGCTGTATGAAGGAAAAAGAAGGAAAATGTGTGTGTGTGCGCGTGCGTGCTCAGTCAGGGTCAAAAGCACAGGTGTGGTGGATGCTCCAAATTTGAAGGGAATGTAATTTTATGCCATACTGCCGTCTTTTTTTGATCCACCAAGCATTTTCTGTTTTACTTGCACAGAATCATGGAATAGATGAGGTCGGAAGAGACCTCTAGAGATCATCTAGTCCAACCCCCCTGCTCCAGCAGGGACACCCAGAGCACTTTGTACTCCATAAAAACTTTCTTTTTTTCCTTTTCAAATAAATGGACAATGAGGATTGCTGAAACTTATGCAGCATACTTCATTTTTGCTTTCTGGGCAAGAAACACATCATAAGAAACACATTTCTGTATTGGTTTCTGTTGAAACAACAAATATAAACTGACTTAATATAGCTACATTATTTGTTCTTAGTCCTGATTATATAAATACAGGGGCAAATGTGAACTTACACTTTCTGACTAAATATAACTAGAATATGTAATTCTTTAATAGAAAACTTAGCCACAGTATTGTGCATTATTTTAGAACAGACTATGCAAATCTTTACATCTCTAGTAGCACAAAGAAGAGTCTTCTAATACCTGCCCCCCAAAAAAAAGCAAAAAAAGAAAAATGAATGCTTAAACTGCTGAAACTTATTTTTACAAATTATAAATAATTGTAAGTTTAATTTTGCACTCATAATGTTTTGTGACAGACTATTAAGCCTATCTTGAAATCTGTCCAGGACTAATGTGTGAAGATTAAGAACCAAATAAAGCTGTCATTTTTGACACTTATCTTTTAAAACATCATGTATAGCATCTAGAACAGAATAGTTTAGCTTTGTATGAGTCTCAGTTTTGTATATATTGTTTTACATTTCTGCAAACTATGTGACTTGATAATTTTAAGGATAAATAATACTACATTCATCAAAAATACGGAGATCTTGAAATTTGTTTCTTTATAGAATTAGCTTTGTATTTTGTTCAGTGTTGAAATAATAATGTTTAATAGGTCATAATCAACATTCTGATCTTTTCATACAACATTATAGTGTTATTTTCCATGTGCTGTTTTAACACGCACTTCCATTGGTCCAAACCAAATGAAGTTTATGTTTTGGCATTATTCCATTGTTCCAGTGTCTGCTGTTACAAGCCAAACTAGATGTGTTATGAGATTTCATATTATGTTCCTTGATACACACCTTAGTTGTTGAAGTTTTCACTTTGTAATCCTAGTTAACAGAAAGAGAATTGTGTTAGCTGTTACAAATATGCATTCTGTATGCCAGTGTAATTATCTCTGGGCTGGAAGGAGGAGAGCAGTGTAATGCAGTATATATAGGTAAATATTAGCTTTTGTTTGATCTCTGTTGTTCCTCTGCTCCCTTCCACTGCCAAAAATTTGGAGTAAACAATCTGCATGGTCCCTGTGCTTCCAGTCCGGAAGGCAGAGAACCTGGAGATAGGATCTGCAGACCAGAGCTCATGATGTTCCCTTCTCTGCACTGCACAAGCTCAAAGTGGGGACTGAGCAGCTATTGCATAGGTTGGTCGGTGAGTCTCAGAGGAGTAGAGAATCATTCTGGGATCGTCCAGCATCTCATGAATTGCCAGGGAAGTGCTGGTCTGCTCTGCAACATGCATCACAGACTGAAGCATCCCAAACCCATCTCGAAGCCCACTTGGTCCATCGTGGCTGTAGATAAGGCTGCTTGTGCCTCAAGCTATTGCTGACCCTTGGTCTGAAAAGTGCAAACCAACACAGACTGAAGCATCCCAAACCCATCTTGAAGCCCACTACAGTACTGTAATAGATGGTGCATCTCAGTGCTTCCTTTACCTCCAGGTTTGCAGAATGGAAGATTCAAAGGTATTGATAAAACGCGCTGTCCTACAGAATGGAAACCCTTTCCTAGACAAGGCTAGTTAGCTTTTTAAAAGCTTGTCTGGATCACATGTTAACATGCTTATATTTTCTAAAACCTGCTTTTGAATTTATTTTAATGAACTGAAGATTATAACAATAGGGCACAAAAGGCCTTCTCTGTTCCTTGTTTTTCCCTAGTTTATTTGTAAATAATATTCACCTTGGCAGAGCTCATGGCTGTTTTTCAATTTGGGTTTGTTTTAAGGTTGGAAAATCAAATATTCAAAAGTCATGGCATGCTTTGGTCTAAAAGGTCTTGCTCTCCTTCACCACCAGCATCGTCATTTGACACCAGCTTCTAAAGTAGCAGGTGCTGAGGCCATGTCCCCATGAAAGAAAAGCTGTATGAGACCGGAGAGCTCCAGGGAATATGACTGACGAGAAGGTGACCAGGACCATGTTTTGAGCAGAGCTGTAGTGGCCATCTGAAGTGCAGAGTTATGTTGGTTTTGGCTCTAATTAAAGCTGCCATCTCCTGGTGGCTCTTGGCAGGGTCTTCCCAGCTTGAGAATGACTGAGCTGAGTTGTGTAACCGGTCACAGCTCTGCAGTATTGCAATCCCATCATGGTAGATATCACATAATACAGTTTTAACTCTAAGCGTTTTGATACAGTCACAAATTTAGCTCTGCCCCCTTTCCCTTATCTGCAATTAGTCTGTGAAACCCTGAGCGCTATTTTTAATGCACTTTGTGATTTTTAACTTTATTCTGCTAATGCTCAATGCCATTTGTGATCCATTTGGTATAGATGAAGACCTTGGGAAGGAGACTTGTGTGTTCTGAAGATTTTTTTGCTGTATAGTATGGACTATTTTAGCTTCTGTGGACCTGTCTTTAGACTGGAATATTCATGCTCATTCATTAGCTTGATGGAGAAATATATATATATATGGGGTGGGGTATTGAGACTGATTGACATATGTATGTATGTAGCATGCAATGAGTATTGTATACAACAAAGCATACTTAGAGTTGGATAAAATTGCTTCTCTGTAGAAGCACTTAGTAAGCGGGGAGACTTCATAGAAAGTTGTGGGGGGTTTTGTCGTCGTTTTTTTTTAGTTGGTTTTCTGAGTTTTCCAGAGTGGGAATTTGTGTATTTTATATGCATAGTTATTTGCTTTTGGGTAAGGTTGTGTTCACAGGAAGTGACTGAGGAGAAACTTAAATGCAGCAATTTATTATCCTCTGAGGAAAGTATTGTTTCACCTACTAGAACAAGTCTAAAAATGATGTATCTAAAGTTCCCCAAACTAATTTAAATACCCTATTTATAAAAGCTGTGTGTGCTATGCTGATAATCCATTTATGAAAAGGACTTTAGTGTTTTTTTCAAAAGGATTTACTTGCAACTGTTGCTGCATACAATATTAAGCTCCTGGATAAAATATTATGTTCCTCTGCTTCCCCCCTCGTTGTAGAGGGGAGCTCACAATTTGGCCTTGTATCACCTGCTTGACAGTACTATATAAGGGCAACTGTTACTCAAGGAACTGTGTTCTGAAAATAATATATACAGCACACCAAAGCAGAGTAATTGCATGAGTATACATAAAAATGGTGTCACTTATTTTGAGGTGTTTTTTGAATAGTATGTACTTAAGAAAAAAATCTTGGGTGATGTTGAAATAATTAGCTGATGTTGGAAATGTGTTAGGTTCCTCTCTGTATTATGAGGATCTAAGGCTTGCTGGTGACCTGTCCACTTTTAGACATGATTTTGGCACCAACATAAGCAATTAGAGAGTGTAGATTAGCAGGAGACTCAAAGAATCCTTTTTTTTTTTAATTATTTTTTCTCCCCTCCTGCCTTTTTGGACTCTTTTCAAGCAAGGACTTGTCTTTGCCCTAAGAAATAGGACTAACTAAATGTATTTGGTTAGTTTGCCATGCATGATTGTGAAGCTGGGACACAAACTCTGCTTTCTCCTCCTTTTCTGGATACGAGTGGGAATATGTTTAATCCACTTTTAATATTTACTTTCTGGTTTATTTTTGTTTCCCCGCCACTAGAGGAATTGCTTCAGTGCTAGGAAGTCACCTAACTCATAAACACTAAGTCTTATGGGCTGAGATCTGACAATACTGGTTTGATGTTAACGAATTCTATACCTTGTGAGCAGTATTTTTTTTTATATATATAGGTAAATGAAAGTAAAGAAACTAAAACAACATCTTGTTTGAGAATAATAATATTTGAACCAGGCAGCTTTAAAATTATGCAGATGTCATGATTAGGATTGAAATGCATTGTGAAATGCATAGCTGCGTATCAGTACCCACTGCAGAGGATCAAGATGGTTCTTGAGCGACGTGTCTTTGCCCCGGATGTTGGTTGTGTCCAGACTCTAGGCTGGGACTGTTTCATGTTCCTGTCATGTGTGTGAGTCGCTGCTTACGGCTGTGGTTGCACACTGGAGAGTTTTCAGAATTATCTTTCTCAAGTAGTTAAGCTCTCTGTGCACATAGCTATAACACTAATACTTTACTGCTTTTAATTTTCTAGGGCGCCAATGCCTCAGCTTTGGAGAAAGAGATTGGTCCGGAACAATTTCCAGTCAATGAGCACTATTTTGGTTTGGTTAATGTAAGTTCTAGTGCGTTGCTTGATTGCTTTAGAATTACACAAGCCAATTTGCTAAATTACAAGATTTTCTTTGAGTGAATAATTAAAACACTGAAAGACGTATTCATTTAATATGTTTAATATTTTGAAATATATTTCAGAATTAATATATTAAAATGTTGAAATTGGACTATATTTAATATTTGATTTCATTATACTTAGACTATTTTTTGTTTAAATCACTGTCTTGCTATTAAAATGAAGAAGTATTAAAAGATATATTTAGAATATATAACTTGCAGTTGGCAATATCACATTTTAAATGAATAAATACACAAAAATAAAAAATAATCTGTGGAAGGACCTTGAGGATATGGATCATCCTGTCTGCTATTTGTAGTAAATGTTAGAAGAAAAAAAAAAAGCTACTGAAGGGGAAAAGGAAGTGTGGAAAAAAATAATCTTGTTCAATTATATCATATGTTTTCAGGTGTGACTTATACTTTAATTTCTGATATTACTTGTGAAAGATGTGTCTTGTTGAAAGTTTTGTGATTCCATCTGAAATCAATTATTAAGTAGCTTTCTTCTCTGGGGCTTCAAAAAGTACATATTAAAACCAGGCTGATCTAACATGAGCCATCATCTTGACTTTTCATAATGAAGCTAATGAATTATAATACTGTTCTGCTATTGCAATATGCATCTCTACAGTCTTAGCACTGACATGCTGCTGGGAAGTGCACTAATAATACTAATAAACTAATAATTTAAATTAGGTTTTATTTTTTATTTTTTTTTCTTTCTCATGAAATGTTGAAATACCTTTAAAATATAGCTTTTTTTTTCTCTCTCTCTCTTCTCTGAAAAGACGAAATATTGTAGTTGAACTGTTCAGGCTTGCTGTTACTTCCGTAGCTGAGTTTAAGCTTGTAAACTCATTTCCTTCAAAGTTGTTCTTACCTTTTCTCAGATCACTTACTCTGACAGATAAATCCATTTTCCTAGTTTCTTGTCCCAGTCTAGGGGATTTGTCATGCCTCTCTTCACGCATTTCCAAAAGGACTGAGATTTCTTTTATATCTATTAAAAAAACTCTGCTAACACTAGATTGTGCCTAGGATACTCGTTGAGATGATTGTGGTCCCATTGCCCCATTTTAGATTTGAATGTATCTATTTTTACTGTGGAAATGTATCTGGATGAAGGAAAATACAAAACACAGATGTGAAAACTTACAACACCCTCATAATAGTCCTATACAGTCAGATATCCCAAGTGAATCTTGTCTGATGATCCTATTAACCAATTCTCTTTCTCTTGAGAATATGGCACTTTTAAAACTTGAATGGAGGCAAAGAACAAAAGCCCTTTCCAGTCTTGGCACCGTCTTTTAATGATGCTTTAACATTTCTGGAACAATGTCTCAGCATAAGCCTTTCTCTTGCTCTGTGATTGTTTGTCTCTACCAATGCTTATGGTATGACCCAAATGTTCATACATGACCCAATGACCCAAATATTCATCCATTAAACAAACCAAAGTCAGATCCAGCTGTAGATCATGATTTAGAGAGAAATTCCAAATTTAAGTTAACCATTTAAATATGCTTCAGTTCAACAAAAACCTGTATTTACTTTTTAAAGTCTGCTATGTTCTTTGCTCTTTTGTAGCTATTTAATAGAATAAGTTCATGCAGTCTAACTGTAGTTTCACACACAGTATGGTACTATATTAAGAATTAATAAAACAGTAGAATTCTTTCGAACTGCTCATCTGTCTGCCTGACATACTTAGTGGCTGTAAGAAAAGCTTCAATAAAGGATCCACTTCCTGCAATGAAGACATCGAATTCTGTCCCTCTGCCATCCAGAGGGAAGAGGGAACTTAAGGGGAGCTCGTTTTTTTTTGAAATCCTTGCCCTCAGCCATGCACATAAGGGATCAGCAGCTTGGATATCTCAAGATGTTCTTAACGGCCTGTGTGGAATAGAATAAATATTTCTTATCTTAGTATTGAACAACAAAGTTTTGTGGACCAAACTGTTTTGAATTGTACCTGAAAGTGAAGTAGGATTCTCTGAAGCCTGTGTCACGCTGGTGCTGTTTGTTTCAGGTACAGCGAGTTGGCCTAGGCAGCCCAGCCCTCCTGTTGCTGGAATGTTGCTGTTTCCAGATGGGTTATGCTGATCGTGTTTACTGTTACGTTATCTAGATGCCATTACACGTGTGATAAACTTGCAGAACTCCAATCAGCCAAGAAGGGGGAAAGGTAGCAGTCTCTTTACTAGCAAATAGCTGATTTCCTGGTCAGAAGGAATAACAGAGCTGATAAGAATTAGGAGTAATGGACTGTTAGATTGAGAAGCAATGGCAGTCACAAATATTGTCCCCACAGAATTTTTAAATCCTTTTATATCAATTACAGAAAGTGAGGCTTTTGGAAGTTAATTAACATTTACTACTACATTTTTCTAACTCATTTATCAATTTTGTTTGCCCTGTTTTTTTTCCACAATAACTGAAAAAGGCCATATGATGTGGAAATTGGTAGCTCTGTCCAGCTGTGTGATATCTAGTTGTTTTTAGTGTCTGGGGCAGTATTTTTACATGCAGATGATAATTTTGTAAGAGAGACCTGTGAATCATAAATGTAGAGATTATCCAGATATAGAAGAAGAAAAGATAGAGAACTCTTTATACTCTTATCTCCTCCCCAACTTTTGAGGGAATCCAGAAATTATTGAGACTATTCTGAAAAAACAACTTGAGAGGTAAAAGAAATATTAAGAAGGGGCAATTAAGGGAAGCATGTGGCAGAACAGATGGTCAATGGATTGTTTGATCATGTCAATGAGAGCTCTAAATAGAAAACTCTGCTTACAATGAAAAGGACAAATACATGTTCGTGAATTCAGCAGAAAATATTTAAGATACATGGTAAGATGAAAATGTTATTAGCATTAAGTACTGCTGTTTGAATCCTCTAAACTGAAGATCATTGTGAACCAGCTATCTGAGGTAGTGACTCCTCTAAAAATGCTCGACACGAGCAATGTTCGACTTTATTCACCTACTTCTAATTGCCTTCTCAGGGGAAAGTCAGAGTGCATTTCAGGCTCGATTC